CCGGTATCCGATATAATTTTAATCTTTAAGAATTTAAACTTTAAACGGCCTCTCTCTTCTTCTTTTCTCGAAACGTTGTTTTTTTTGGCGGTGACGCGATTTCAGAAAAACTAACCGACCCATTCAAAAAATTCTTGCAACGTTGTATTGATAGATTGATTAGCTACCGCGTAAACTAGAATAAACCGGTTTCACTAAAAACAAAATTTTTTGTCCAATTTTTTTTTATTGAAATAAAAGTGTTTTTTTTTAATCAGGTTCTAAAAACACGTCAACTCGCGAATTTTCAATATTTTTCAATAATTCCAATTTACGCGAAAATTACGCAATAAATTTTAAAAAAAAATTTTGTTTTTTATTTCTGGCTATTAGTTCTCGAGATATCGTGTCAACTATTTGGTCATCTCATTTTTTTAACTCTGCGACTCTCAACTAATTTTGTGGAATTTTGAAATTAAAATACCGCTTTTTTTTCATATATTGACATGAAATTTTTTTCATATACGTGTGTATTAATAATTTGTGAAAATATGTGAAAAATTAGAATCGTACGTCTTATAGTTTTCTATAAGAAAAATTCCAAAAAGGCCTTATTTTTAGTGTGGTTACTAGAATGTACTCTTAACCAGCGTACCACAAGGTGAAGGTAATTAAATTTCACCAGATAAATTTTAATAAATTTTATAATCGCAATTTAACAATTAAAAGTAAATAAGATTCATTTATTGTTAATATTACATTCCGTTTATTAATATTAAAGTAACCAGTGGTTCAATAAAATTTGTGTTTACGTTTATTTTCAACGTCATCGTACACTTTATCGTGCATTATTAATTTTTTAATTATGCTACTACGTAATAATATTATTTTTATTGAATTTTGAATTGCAATGATAATTGTACCATGTTTAATATACCAAAATTATTCATTCATTGGATAAATTTTTCGATAACTATATCCGCAGAATATCTCGTTGATCGAACATGTCTCTCTGTAAATTATTGGGGCATTTCGTTTTATGCATAATGTTCTTTGTTCATCGAATATAAACAAGGATAAATGATGCATCATGCACTCATAATCTATGAGGTACTTACGAAACAGTGTGTAACATAGAGAAATTCAAATTTAATCCTATCGTTATGTGACGTCCTGAGTCGCGTGTTTGTCGTGACCTTTCGAGACGCGGCACGAGACGTGTGGAGCGCGAGCGCGGAGCGGGGCGCGCGGGGCAAAGCCTTGGCTTCTTCGGAGAGATATTTCGATTGCGGTGTACACGTAACGGGGGCAGGCTGCTGTCACCAGTGCCTTTCGCATCGGCACGAAATCTTAATATTATTCTGAGTTTTGCGGAGAGGCTTTTATCTTGTACTGGCTCCTTCGAGGTCCTTCGGAGAGAAATTAAATCGGAGAATTAGAGGAGTTTTCAGATATTATTAGCGCCCCAGGGTGCTGTGAGCACTTGTAACATGGAGATTATTATCTCTCAAGAGAGCAGCTGTACGTATGTCATCATACACTCGCTCTATCTACGTTCTCCGTTCCGTGGAGGAGGAGGAGGAGGAGGAGGAGGAGGAG